CGGGATCTCTCTGTTATTCTACTACGGCTTCATCTAATGTATTTCTGTGTACGGTTTTTAGTCTTTATCACACATCTATCTGTTCAGGAGGAGAGGACTAAAAGCCCAATGGAACGAATACCATGTTACCATATGATATTGTTTATAGAGCACCTCCCACAAGGGATAAGACCAGAGAGACGCAGAACACTTTATCTCCGTATTGTATGCTATTAGGAAGAACATGTGCACATATAAAGTTATGTGTTTGATATTTATATACATTACTGTAGTGACACAAAACTCACTTAAAAATACATTCAAGTACCCCTCCGAGCCGACCTGTGACAGTCTCATTGTCACACGTCGGCTAGAACTATGAGGTGAGTGAAAAGCACCCCCCCCCCCCCCCCCCACAGCTGCACATAAGAAAAGGGGTGGGATGCTGTGATGTCATTGACCTTATAGGACCACATGGCTATATTTGTTTAATGACACTGACCTAACATGGCCGTGTAATGTCAATTATGTTAGCACAAGCATCCTGCCCCTTGTTTATGTGCAGCTGCTGGGCGTTATATGTAGGGCCGTCTTTACCGCAGGGTAAAAGGGGGAGCTGCCCCAGGTCCCATAAGTTACAGGGGCCCACAGCAGCTGTCCCTTTTATCCGGAGCGGCAGGCAGGAGCAGCGACACCGCTGGTAGCAGGGGCAGATTGGGGGACTGCCGGCATGTTGACAGCCAGGACCGGCGCTAGCTTAGCCTGGGGTGGGGTGGGGGGGGGGGGCGGTAATTGGCAAGTTATAGAGGAGAGCAGCCGACCGGCCGGAACAGCGGACGATGAAGTTGCTGGTAAGTGCTGGGAGCGGCCGGAGCTGTGCTCTTCTCTGCTGCTTCAGAGTTGGGAGCGCCTGGCCGGCAGAGGAGGATGATGTTGCTGGGGATACAAAGGGGAGCAAGGCTTGGGGTGAGGGGAAGAAGATGCTCATTGTCCTGTTGAGTGAATTGTTTTGCAGAGTCCTGTTTATTACATTACTATTACATTACGGAGTACTTTTTATTACATTAGAGTTGGGCAGATGATGGAGGTGGGAGGGTTGTGGGGGCCCTTTAGCAAAATCTTGCCCAGGGCCCAATTAATATTAAAGACGGCCCTGGGTATATGTCCCGGCCTGCAGCTGATTAGGCAGGTGCCTCATGTCCCTTCTGGGTTCGGAGGAGCTCAGGTTCAAACAAGGTTTGTGAGGTTCAGATATGTTGTAAAATTAAAGTAGCAATAAATAGAAATAAAATAGAAGATGTGTTGAATTGGCACCCCAAAAGCGGCCAGGAAGATGTGCGTTTTTCCTCCGGATTTGCGTGCATTAAAATGTGCACAAATGCAGAAGCCAAAAACATGGAATGCATGTCACAAAATTTGCTACATAAGCTTTTTTGCCAAGTTTGTTGCACATTGAAGACCCCATTGAACTCAATGGGGAGTCGCAGCAAACGCAGCGCACACACACATTCAAAAGTGTCACGTGTTCCCGGAACGCTATGGAGTCAGAGAGGGCCAAAGCACAAGACTCCAGACATTTGCTGCGACCGTTCTATGAAACAAGGACCTAACCCAGTGCTAGAGGCATCCTCTTTAAGAGATTTAACCCATTCTGACAGAAACAAAACACAAAGAGCGCCTCCATC